TAGTCGTCATGACCAGAGATCTAGTCGCGCGACCATATCATGCGGGGAAGAAGGGAAAGGGTGGCGTGGGGAGGAAGAGGGGGGGAGGAGGTGGTGGGGAGAGGGAAGTAGAATGGGAGAGGGAAGGGGAGGATAGAATGAGAAGGAGGAAGGAGGAAGGAGGAGAGGGAGAGGGAGAGAAGGGAAGGAAAAAAAAAAGAGGTAGCCAGTGCTGTCGTCGGATTGGTTACTCTAACTAACCCTATATATCTTTTTATATGCAGGTAGGTTCGGGTAACTGCTGTTTTTGAAAATTGAAAGCCACACTCCAATCTAATTTTTTAAGTAGATTCAGGTAACTTAACCATTTCAAAATTGCAGGTTGGTTGCCCCTTTTTTTTGTTTGGATCAATTTAGTTTTCTCGATTATCCACTTTTTTTTTAACACCCCTAGACCAAAGGGATGAAAATGTTAAGAAATTATGATTTTTAAAGGTCTTTTGGTAATGCGAACAAACTTCAAGATTTGTTTCATAATTTGATTAAAGCTCAAGGAAGGTAAATGTAATTAATTCTAATGATTATTAGTATTTGTATTCACATAATTTAAATATAATTATAATTTAGATGTACTCTGTTACCCACTAACCATCCATTGAAAACATCCTTTTACTCATTATTGGATATCCCAAATTATTCGGAACATAATTTCCCCTTAAAATGACTTTGTACAGAGGACAATGTTGTGAAGCACACGGATTTGTTGCTGGTGAAGATTAACTGGCTACAGTTTGGCTCTAGTCCCATTAAAATCAATGTTTTCAGAATCGGACCGGACCGGCAGGTTCGACCGGTCCGACCGCGAACCGGCCATGCTACCGGTCCGGTCCAATGTCAAACCCGGATGGTAATGGAAACCCGCTACGAACCGCGCGAACCGGACGAACCGCTAAAACCCGTATGAACCGCGAACCGGCGGTTCTCAAATTTTCAAACAATATAACCTCAAATTCAAAATAATAGCAAGAATGGAGACTGCCAGATTCAAACTCGGGTCTCTGAGCCAACAATAAGGTACGTTGCCACTACACCATAGCCCAAGGACGAGGTATTGTTGTGTAGAATTATACTTAACTAAAAAATAAAATCAGATTAAATAAAAAAACCCTAGCATTAAGAAAGTGCAGACGGCACATTTCATTTCAATTTCACTTCCTCCGTTTCTCACTCTCGGCTTCTCCAGTTCGCATCTTGATTTTTTTTTTAAATTTTTTCTTCATATTTCAAATACTTATATTTCTTTTTTTTATTTTTCTTACAAAATCTCATTCTCTCATGGCTCTTTCTTTTTAATTTTCAACTCTCTCTCTCTCTCGCTATCCTCTTTTCTTTTGTCACTCCCTTTTTAATCAAACCTCTTTATTTTTAATTTATTAATGTTTTCTTCCATCTTTTAATTTTCTTTTTGTCCATTAAATTGAAAAAAGTTAAAAAAGAATTATTTTTCTTTAACCCAAATTATTTAATGTCACAACCACTCACTTTTATCTCATTTTTTGTTTCTTATTAAGTTTATATTTCTATTTTCGATTCTCTTGACTTCCTTCGAACTCCAAATTTTCTTTTTTAAATTGCAATCTCTAAATCCCAAAGCGTAAATTAAAATTTAAGTTCACAATGTCTAAATTCTCATATATGTGAATTTTGCATAATTTCAAAATATTGTGATATTTTTGGGTTGGATTTAGATATAATTGAAATTGAAATGAAATTTATTTGTTTTAACTTATAATTTAAAATTTTTATTTTTAAAAATCCAAGTTATTAAAAAATAGTAAACTTTTCATCATATAAAGTATTAAATTAGTCCATTACATGTCTTATTTTGTGCATATATATATTTATATAAATTATTTTTAAAAAATTTTATTGAACCGGGGTTGAACCGATCCGACCAGTTGAATCTCGATCCTTTCACTTCACCGGTTCAATTAACGGTCCGGTTTTAAAACCATTGATTAAAATCACCACATTGCAGTCACCCTTAAAACATCCGCCATTCACAAGAAAAAGCCAAACATCCACTAACCTTTCCCCCTCGAGTCTTGACATCTCAGTGTTCATAAGTAGAGCTGCAAACGAATCGAATCGCTCGCGAGCACGAGTCGAGTTCAGTTATTATCAAATTTGAGTTGAGATCCAACTGATTAAATCGAACTCGAGCTCAAAACTCGCGAGCTCGATTATATATATATATATATATTAATAGTAAACTCGCAAGTTTGATTATATATATTTTATTTTTTTAATAGTAAAATTACATATATATCTCTAATATTTTATTATTTGTTAAGAAAAATATTATTTTTTTATTTTTTAAAAATAAAATAATAATTTTTTTTTTTACTCGAGCTCGATCTTAACATTTTGAGTTTGTCGAACTCGAGCTTGAGTTCAAATTTTGTAAAATTAAGTTAAGATTCGACTCGCTAAAATTCAATTCGAGTCGGTTGGTTTGCACCCCAGCTCACAAGTACGCCTATTCTTTACACGTAATCTTGGATTTCGTCAAAAATGAAACATTAAGGACCGACACCCTTTTCTCAAAACACCATAAAAGCGAGTTGTTGGAACAAAACACTACAATCTCAAAAAATTTCAACCTCGTAGCTGGTCGCAAGAGAAAATGGACTTGTTTTTGGCAAACCTATTTAGCAGTTTTACCAGAATCTTGCTCCTGTTGTTCTTGCTGCATGCGTCTTTCAGCTTTATCTCTACAGGTCAGTGCTCAACATTTCTGATTTTCACTTCCCTTCCTCCTCAACTCCAAAACTTATTTTCTTTCCTTTTTTCTCCTATAATTGTATAAACTATTGAAGAAAATTTATGTTTTAACGATGAAAGAGAGCTATGATTCTGAATTCAAAACTGATTTATATGTCTTCTTAATTCGTCTTTTCTTGATAGGCTCCATTTACTTTTTCTTTCATTTGTTAATTAAAAACGTTGCCTTTTATTACTCCACCAGTTTAAAGGGCATTAAATTTTATTATCACTTATGGTAAAAAGAAACGGTCTATACTCATTTTTCTTTCAACATTTCTGATTTTCACTTCCCTTCCTCCTCAACTCCAAAACTTATTTTTTTCCTTTTTTCTCCTATAATTGTATAAACTATTGAAGAAATTTTATGTTTTAACGATGAAAGAGAGCTATGATTCTGAATTCAAAACTGATTTATATGTCTTCTTAATTCGTCTTTTCTTGATAGACTCCATCTACTTTTTCTTCATTTGTTAATTAAAAACGTTGCTTTTTATTACTCCTCCAGTTAAAAGCGCATTAAATTTTATTATCACTTATGGTAAAAAGAAACGGGCTATACTCATTTTTCTTTTTTGGGTTTCTTGTTAATAATAAATAGTTAATTACTCTTCTTTTCTTTTTTGTTTGAAGAGAAAGCAAATTTTTAATGCATGGATAGACATGAACCCGGGTGGGCAACCCGTTTTCTTCGGGTGGGCACGTTTATATCATTACAGTTCACCGCTCTGAGATATTGGCCCGCTTAAGAGTTAACAAGGATTCTCTGTCTTTTTCTTCATTCTTCATTTGTTTTCTCATTAATTTTTTTTTGGTTGGGATCATGGTATTCCTTTTTTCTTTTTTTTTAAAAATATTTTGCTGGATAAGCTTTACGTCATAAACTCCTCCTTTTGTAAATAGTTTTCTCTGTGTATTTTGTAGTAAATGTAGTGGTATGTTTCGTAAGCAAGGACATTTCCTCATAGTTTTGGATTCTGTTAGTTTAGTTAATTAGTTGTCAACCTTTGATAGTACTAGTGGTAAGTAATCACTCAATTGGCAAAAATGATAATTATTGATTTGTTCATTCAGAAGATTTGCTATTTATTTGTTTATGTATTCATGTGATTACATTAGAACAAAATGACCAATGATAACGCTTGGATTAAGATGCATTAAAAAGATATCAACATCAATCAGCTATTAAATTGATAATCTATAGCACCAACATCCTTGTCCAGTCTAGATTAATAACGATCACGAATAAATTAATTGCTTTAAGTTTTTGAACTATCATATGATACTAGAGTCCAGGAGTGAAGTTTGGGCAACTAATTGCTTTAAGTTCTTATTGCATATTTTGTTCAAATGTCATCAACTCATCAATATTTGATACAATGTTATTCTTTTTTCTTTGTTCTAAAATGTAAAGTCTGATGGCTCATGCCTTGTTACATTGCACTGTTTGTGTCAGTCAATTGCCTATTGGGTTCAAGTTGCAGAAACTTGAGTCAAGTACTGTAACTACTTGATAATTTTAGCTGAAACTTCTGAATTTTACAACACCTAAAGAGTCCATTTCTTCGACATTGTGAGAAATAAAGTGCCATTTATAAGAGATTCTGCTTGCTGCTTGTTCTTGCAGACGGCTATGATGCTTTTGATCCCACTGGCAATATTACCATCAAATGGGATATTATGACCTGGAATGCTGATGGATATGTTGTAAGTTTAAAACTAATTAATTACTCACTACCTCTTTTTGCAGAATATTGAATCCTGATATCAAAATCAAGTAGTAATTAATGGCTTAACCTTGTATGCGAGATTTGTATGAATATAATATGCATTTTTGTGCTTTATTTGCTCATGATTCATGTCTTTAACATCCATGCCATTGGCACTAACAGGCTGTTGTTACAATCTTTAATTTCTACAAATACCGACATATTGAATCCCCGGGTTGGCAATTGGGTTGGACATGGGCCAAAAAAGAAGTAATCTGGAATATGATGGGGGGTCAGGCAACAGAGCAAGGAGATTGTTCAAGATTCAAAGGAACCATCATCCCTCATTGTTGCAAGAGAAAGCCGACAATTGTTGATTTGATGCCAGGAACTCCTTACAATCAGCAGGTTGCAAATTGCTGCAGGGGTGGAGTTATAAGCTCTTGGGTCCAAGATCCAGCAAATGCTGTGAGTTCTTTCCAACTTACGGTTAATCAAGCGGGAACTAACAATACAACTGCCAGAGCACCACAAAACTTCACACTGAATACACCGGGGCCTGGATATACCTGTGGGCCTGCTAGGACAGTAAACCCAAGCAAATTTGTTTCAGAAGACAAGAGAAGGGTTACCCAAGCTTTGAGTAAGTAATTTGCTCATGCCTTCTTCTAGTAATTTAAAAAGCATCCGTTTATTTTCTCCCCAGCATGATGGAGTTCACCTGTGCTTATCTTTTCATATGCTTTTCTAATTTCAGTTTGTGTATCATTTTGGATCACAGCGACTTGTAGCTTTCTTTTTAAAATTCATTGGAAATGGTATTAGAGAGAAGGGTCAAATGTGACTGATGAATAGATACTCATGTTAGAGCTACCTACCCTTCTTATCCTTCTTTGATACTTTTCCTTGTCATTGTTGTTGGTTTTATGCACCAATATCTGCATCACCAGACTTACCCTGCAATAGTTTTTGCATAATTGGGGGAGTATAGCTTCCAATACCAACTACTGTACCTTACTCCAATAATTCTGTTGATTTCAATTTGTTTAAGTTCATTTTAAAGAATTTTGGAAATGCTGTTATATTCAATAAATTGCTCTGATTTAGTGAAAGATGTGGTCTCACTTGAAAAGATTGGCAACATTAATACAATATTCGTGTTCTCATACACAGTGACATGGAACATTACCTGCATGTATTCACAATTTTTGGCCCAGAAGACACCTACCTGTTGTGTCTCACTCTCATCCTTTTATAGCAAATCCATTGTGAGCTGTCCAACTTGCGCTTGTGGCTGCCAAAACAGCATTACCCAACCAGGGATCTGTGTAGAGTAAGATATCACTTTTCAATGTGAATTTGTCATTTAACATTGTATATAGTTTGAGTAGTATAAAGCTTTCACTGATGGCATGATACCTTGGTATCAACATTGAGACTGGTCTTACCGGCAATTTTCACTTGTCTGATACCATCTTACAGGTCCGAATCTCCAAATGTACCTTCTGCTCTTTCAAGATCAGGCAAAAATAGTCATGCACCATTGGTTCAATGTACGCGCCATATGTGTCCTATCCGAGTACATTGGCATATTAAAGTTAACTACAAAGAGTACTGGCGAGTCAAGGTCACGGTCACAAATTTTAACTATAGAATGAATTATTCTCAGTGGAATCTTGTTGTTCAGCATCCAAACTTCGAGCATCTTACCCGGACTTTCAGCTTTAATTATGAACCGTTGACACCTTATGCTTCCATAAGTAGGTTTTGTCTCCTATCTATCACGTGTCTGGAATATAACTCTCGAAATTTGTATTGACATTCATGACTGCGGAACTGATCATTTTGCAGATGACACTGCAATGTTCTGGGGAACTAAATTCTACAATGATTTGCTCATGCATGCCGGTCCTTCTGGAAACATTCAATCAGAACTTATATTCTGGAAGGAGAAATCAACATTCAGCTTTGAAAAAGGTTGGGGTTTCCCCCAAAGAATTTACTTCAATGGTGACAATTGTGTTATGCCACCTCCAGATTTATACCCAAATCTGCCAAATGCTAGTGTCCCTAGAGTTACATCTCTACTTTGTCTCTTAACAATGATACTGGTGTCTTTGGTGATTGTATTGGGCTATGTCTAGAAAGTTGGCTGAAAGAAATGAATAAAAAAGGGCTTTAGGTACAGAATTTCCTTCAGAAATGGAACTTGAGCTCTGTTTTAAATCCTGTCAAAGCATATCCAAAAGTGAAGCTTTAGTTTGCAACTTCATGTGAAAAGGGTAGCCCGGTTGAAAAGCAAGGTGTACAGAATCTCCGTGTTCATTAATCAACAGGGGTGCAATTATATTTGTGTCTTTTATCTGATACTAATTCTAGTGCAATTGTACATTACATTGCAATTACCCAAAATATAGTATGTCTGCATTCTGCACATTTAGGATTCTATCCGGCTAAAATCTCCACTAAATTATTTAGATAACTTTAATTAGAGTTTCTTTTGCTATTCCATAAACGAAAGTACTGGACCCTTGATTGCACTTTGTTCACATGGTTTGTGCTACTTTTTTGGATAAAATCTTTGTAGAAGGACCTCAGGAATTAAGGTTTCTTTAGTGCAACAGTAGCATCTCTTTCCTTAGTTTAACAATATATGAAAACGTAAATGCATGACAACAGAATGTTTGATTTTGCTTCAGTTGACTCATCCACATTCTCAAATTCAAACTTGCATCTTTGTCAATTATTGGGAAAATCATATGCACAAAAGTACTTGAAATTATCATTTTGGAGTAGTCTTGCATCAATATCTCTCCATTCATTGTGCCAAAATTCCAGACTACATCATTATGTTGATTAGTAAGGAGAGGATGATAGCTACCATGGTTGAATAGAATGATGGGATTTCATGGGCAGAGTTGGGTAGAAAGGGGTATGAATCCGGAGGTGGGAGCTTGCATTCATCTCCATTGAAATAGATCTTCCTCGGAAATCCCCATCCCTGCTTGAGAGTAAAGGTAGTCTTATCCTTCCTTAAGAGTACCTCAGACTGAACATTTCCAAGTGGCCCAGCTTCCATCAAGAGGTCATTGTAGAATTTCATGCCATAAAACATGGCGGTATCATCTGCGCATCAAGGATGACAAATATTTTGATTTATGCCGTAAACATGGTGGTATCATCTGCATGCACATTAAGGATGACAAATATTTTGAGTTTACTCACTTCTTCTTTTTTTTTTTGTTTCTTTACTTGCTTTGTTTTAAGCTTATCTTTTGTTTGGTTTTAGTTGAGTGATCTGTCAGCAGTGATATGTCAGTCATCCTGTATCTTCATAAATTTTCTGATCTGCCATCAGTAATATGTCAATCATTCTTTCTTTCCAAAAGTGTTGGAAGATTTTCAAATATTCTTTGCTTTGTATTGATTCAACTTACTTATGGCTTGATATGGAACAAGAGGCTTGTAATCAAAGCTGAAAACTTGAGTGACGTTGTTGAGGTTGGGATGTTGTGCAACAAGTGTCCATTGTGTGTAGTTCATTCTGTAATTGAAATTAGTAACAGCAATCTTAACACGCCAATAGTCCCTGTAGTTGATCTTCACATGCCAATGAACACGTATTGGGCACATATGGTGAGTGCACTGTAGTAGCGGTGTATTGTCCTTTTTTGGAGTATTTATTCCCAATGTGGTCAGTCTCTTCGAGTCACTCCTGCAATTAGAAAAAAAGAATTAACAGATTCTTTTGGTAATGTTTCGCTGGAAAAGTGGCAACCTTGAACTTGTAACCTACAAGGATGTCAAGGCGCTGAACTGGGAACCGCAACAGGTAAGCATGACTTACATGATACAATCTTTTTTGTTATGACAACCACAAGCACAAGATGGGCAAGGAGTCATGGTTTCATTGTAGAAAGATGAGAAGGATACGCAACAAATTGGGTACTTTGACGACAGAATCTGGGAATAGGTGCATGTGACAGTCCAAGTCACTGCATTCAAATGTTAAAGCACTATAACTGGAGATTCTTTTTTATGTTAATATATATATGTCTAGCTTAATTGAAACATCTGGTGACAAAGATTTGGTTGGTAGATTCAGCTTCAAAGAAAACTTACTCAATGCTTGTGTCTTTCTCCTGTGATCTGGTGTGAAAAAAACTGTCGATGGAACGACCTCTGCAGGGCCACAAGTGTACCCTGGTCCCGGGCCCATAAGCACGAAGTCCTTGGGAAGCTTTAAGGTTTTATTGGAAGTCCCAGCAACACCAACACTTACCTGAAAGGCAGAGACTGCTGCTGAAGGATCCTGGCCCCAGGATGCCACCACACCGCCCTTGCAGCAATTGGCATACTGCTGGTTGTAAGGGACTCCAGGAAGCAAGTCCACAATTATGGGATTTTTCTTGCAACAATGAGGTACGTTTCCTTTGAACTTTGAACAATCACCTTGCTCAGTTGCCTGTGCCCCAACGATGGACCAAATCACTTCTTTCTTTGCCCAGTTCCAACCCAAGGTCCAACCAGGAGTATTGATGTGCCGATACATTTGATAGTTGTTCATAATTACCGAGGCCTGAATGCATTGATTTATTAAATGATCATATTATTGCAAGTCTGGGGGCTGAAAAGCTTGTTCTATAGTTCTATCATTTAGTTTCTTGGAAGAAAGGCCATATTAGGCTCAGGAGCTCACTTACCACATATCCATCTGCTGTCCATGATACTACATCCCACTTGATTGTAATATTTCCAAATGGATCCAGTGGATCAAATGCCTCTTTCGAATGCAATTGTGCAAGAGAATTTAGAATGAATTAATAGAAGGCAAAACAAATGAATAGGCAAATTCATTAAAATGCTGTAAAATGTATATAAGCATCACCTGATTGAGACAAGGCCATTAGTAACAGGATAGCCCATAATTGGAGCTTAATTTTCAGAATTGAGAAGCATTGAAGCAGTTGGAGATCGTTAGCTTTAACAGGAGTTCCCTCTCTTTTGTTGGCAGATGTTGTGAATCCCATTGCTTAATGTTTTCAAAGGATTTCAGGAATCCAATACGAACGAGTAAAAGAAGCTCGTCTATTATAAGGGAAACACGATTTGCAACAGCATGCAAATGCAGAATGTTTGTTGATGGAACACCTGAAATTTGTTCTCTTGGGTACTTCATGCTATAGTTTTATCTTATTTATTTCTGATTTGTTGCAGATATTAGAAAGTTGAAACAGGTGTGAGACAAGACATTTGAACTCAACAGCTGAAGAGTTGCTGTTTTGGTGCAATGATATCTGCTGATTCTCATTTGAAATAGACTGTTTATCTTATATCTAGAGATCCTTAAGCAAACACACTTCATTTTTGCTTTCCCATTTGGTTCTTAATGCACTCATTATGATCCCCAAAGGTAAAACATAACCATCATAACGATTTTATACAATAAGTCGGGTAAGTACCAAAATGCGAAATTTTGTTCTGATTTATGGAGTGTTTCACAATGTTTTTTTTTTTTTTTTGGAGTGTTTCACAATGTTTGAATAAGTTTTTAAGTACAAGTAATCATATCTTATTGTCACAAAAGCTTTCAGGAATATGTCTTGCACACTCTTTATCATATTCAGCATTTTTTTTTGTGGTCCACTAGTAACATCTATTTTACTCTTATTCTAATCCCTTCTCGGGAAGCCTATTCTACTTACTCTTGCATACTCTTTACTGCATTCAGCACTCTTTTTTGAGCATGTTAGAAGCTTTTTTTTTTTTTTTTTTTTTTGTATATGTGTGTTTTATTTATTATTTGTGGAAAAGAGAGCGGTGACAAGACGGATGGCAAGAATTGGAGCCACGTACGCATGCGGACCACGGGCAGGAACGGTTGTTTGTGCATTTTGCACACCGCGTAATTTTGTTTGCACACGGCGTAACTTTGTTTGCATAACGTGTAACTTTAGTACAAATTTTTGTGGGTCCCACACACGTTAAAAACGAGGTATAAGAAGTGATCTGGACCGTACAATTTTTTGGGGCCAAATCTTGGCCATGAACAGCTGAGGAGCGGTCCTTCTGATTACCACTCCTGTCCCTCACCCTATGCATGCGGGCTCAGACAGTTTGATGCACACAATTAGCTAAACAAATAAATGTACAAATTTTGACTAATTTTGACTTTGCACCTTTGATCTTATATTACTTTTTTGCTTTACATTTTAAATTTTAATTTTAAATACTTTGCATCCTAAACTCTTAATTTTGAACATTTTGCACCCTAAATTCTTAAGTTTGTTCGATTTAAGTCTAACCAATGATTACGTTCTCAAAATTAATGAGATAAAGAGTGATAAAAATTAATAACAATGTATCGTATTGTTCTAATTTTAATTGAAATACATTATCATTGATTTAAAAGGCTTCAATTACTAATATTGTTAGCAAAATTAACGAAATAAAAGATAGTGTAAATTAATGATAATGTATTATTTTATTTTGTTATGATACTTTAGCAATTTTGACTATTTTCGACACATTATCATTGATTTGTTGGGTCTTCTATGTAGTTAAAATTGCTAAAGTTGTCATTGATTGGATTATATACAACAAACTTGAGAGTTTATGGGACCTCTATGCCATACAACTTTTTATCGTTATGTATAATAAACATAAAAATCTTTCATGAAAAATGGAAATGATCAAAATTGAAAGGGATAATATTACAAACCTCTCCGGAGGTTTATGTCAAATAAGCTAGCATTTTCCATATTTCAAAAATTACACATAACTCCCTGAATAGTAGTTTTGGATTTGGCTAATGTGCTCAGAAGAATTCATACTAACATATCTTGTTGACCTTGAGGAGTTTTTTTTTCTTTTGGTTTTAAATCAAATTATTTAATGAATATAATCATGTTTTTTCATCTAGTCTCAAACATTTTGCCTTGCCCACGGCTTTAATCACTTCCTCGGTACTCCTTTAGTCTAATTTGATATTATATTTTTGAATTTTAATTGTTTACTGAACTTGGTAGGAGAAAAAACGAGAATAATTGAGAAGAGTGAAATATGGGTTGATTAAGGGGCATGATGAACGCCAAAATTTGTGAGATATGAAAATTGGGATTTTGGAGAAGGATGACAAATTTGAATAGAAAAAAGATGGGTGGTCAAAGTGGTGATGATATGGCTATTTAGTGGGATGAAATGCTTGTTAGCTATTTTTCATATTTGGTTAGTCATTTGACTATTTTTTTTTTTTTTTTGCATAGGATGAGTATTATTCTGTTGGAAAGGTTATTATAATCATTTTGAGTTATGCAGGGAGATAAATATAATATTTGAAATTAAAAGGGTACTAGGCAAAATTAACAACAACCTTAGATGTTTTTTAAATTACCCCAAATAGAAAGTGCATTTTCTTTCGATTGTTCATGCGTTATGTTGTTGGCAGGAGTACTTTATATCACGGTCAATTCACTCAACCAATCATTGACCTTGCTCCTAATCTAGATTATGAATCAATCAGCATAAATCGCAACTTTGAGGGCCCAATTTAAGGGCGATATTTACCGCTTGTGCTGAAATTAGCACATTTGCCCCTTCAGTATTTCTCTGCGAATTTTCTGTCCGGAAATAGTCTCCGTTGTATGTTGATAAGTCCAATTGGCTTCACAACCAAACCGATATATATATTAACAAGAAAGTCAAATAAGTCAAATCTTTTTTTTTTTGTTTCTATTTTCTTTCTAACAAAAAAGAATGTCGATGGTCATAAACATGGATAATCAACTAGAACTCTTTTTCATTTTTTACCCAACTCATTTTTTAGCTAAACCCTAACAAGTCTTTTGATTCAATCATTATATCTTTAATCTTATAATAAACACGCTTGAAGGATCAATAAGCAGTAATCAATAATTTCTTGCTCATCCAAATAAAGTAAACCAATAGATCATATTTTCTAGTTGTATAATGTTTTTTTTTCTGATGAAAAAGAAGAACTTTTATTTATAAAACTTATTGGAAATCGTTCAACACTATTTGTTCGACAAAATCAAGTGATGAGTTACAAAGTGATTCAATTGAGCTACTGGACTTAGCATGAAATGTTAAAGCATGTTTAACTTTATTTAATTCCCTCGCACCCATCTCAAAGATACATTACTTAAGCTATTCAAATTATTGATGGATACACTATTTAAGCTATTCAAATTATTGAGGATACGACACTTGTTGAAGATCGTCCAGCACTATTTGATTGATATTCAACCGAGTTGCTAGACTTAGTACGAATGGCAAGACATGTGTAACTTTGTTTAATTCCCTTGGCGCCCATCTCAAAGATACATTACTTAAAGCTATTCAAATTATCACGCACATCATTGACGATAGGGCCTGTGACAGAGGAATCATCTTCTCTATTCAGCATTTTCTGGATAATTGAATATGCATCACCTGCAATGGAAAAAGATGGAAAAAGTAATGCCTTCACAAATAGAAAAGCTCCCCGAGCAGCTACAGTTTCAGCAGAAACAGTTTCTTGGAATTTCTTTGCCAGTCTAGCGATGAATTCTCCTTTGTGGTTCTGAATCACAAGCCCGATACCATGGGTACCTTCTTGCTCTGCAATGGCAGCATCAAAGTTGACCTTGTATATGTTCTCCTTGGGGGTCATCCATCGTTGACATGCTCGCTGAACAGGTTCAGTTGAAGGTTGGGAATTGGCCTCCTTAAAAGAAAATAACATTCCAGAAGTAAAACTGACCAAGGACATGGGATCACCATCCTTACCATCAAACAGTTTGGCATTCCAAGTGTTGTAGATGTCATAAGTTGGGACTGCAAATAATTCGCAGTCCTCTTTGACCATTGAACAAACTATCTCTTTTACCCAAAGATCAATTGCGGAGTGAGGATAATTCTGGACTCTCTGCGCAAGGAAAGATAAAGCCTAAACTTGAATAGAAACATGTGCATGAGATTTCCAGCTGTTGTCTACCTACAGCTGGGGATGTCAAAAAATTATCAGCAGATGGAAGAGAGTTGTGACAAATTCGCCATATAAGATGCTTTACTTTGCTGGGGATATTCAGAGACCAGAGCCTCGTCTAGATTTTATCATGATTTAAACTTGAAGAACCGTGATCAAGTTGATTAAGTTGTAGGAAGTCCCAATCATAATAGTATGGTATGCACCATTGACAGTAAATTTGCTGTTGCGTATGTAGTGCGAAATCCATCTATCCTTTATTTGTAACCTAGAGAGCTGAATTCCTTTAGTCAAGTCAGCCCCCTCCTTCCAAAAAACTTCATCAATCAAACCACAATTCTAGCAATAAGTAGAATTAGCAATCAAGTCACTGACACAAGCATCAGGTGAGATGATATTAGGTGGTGAGCAGATTCGAAAAGTTGTAGGCCGTGGTAGCCAAGGATCCTCCTAAATTCTGATAGTTTTCTTCTTCCCACCCTTATCCGCTAGTCAATATGCAGCACTCTCCTTCCTTCAAGAATGCTTCTCCAAGTTAGAGATGGCCTGGGTCCTAGCTGTGCCTGAAAAGAATCTGAATCTGGGTTGTATTTTGCCTTCAAAACTTTATGCAGTAAAGAGAGAGCGTTAGTAAGGATCCGCCAAGCTTGCTTAGCAAAGCATTGTGTAATTGAAGGCTTTTAGGATACGGAAAGCCAACTCCTCTCCTTTGATGAACACATACTGTCCCAATTAATCCAATGCATTCTTTTCTTTTATGATCCGTCACCCCACCAATAGTTAGGAAACATTGATTCAATGTCGCATAAGATAGAATGGAGAAGTTGAAAACACAACATGGCATAAGTTGGGATTGCCTGGATAACAGCCTTGAGAAGGATTGCTTTTCCTGTCCGCGAGAGCTGCTGCTCATGCCATCCTTGAATTCTTTGCCACACCCTATCCTTGATAGATGCAAAAACTTCAGTGTTTGATTTTGATCTGCCTACTACAGATGGAAGCCCTAAAATATTTATCGCAAGAATGTAGCACCAGCATGTGCAGCAAATCAGTCTAGTATCGATAGGCAAGTTTGGGCTAAAGATAATAGCTGATTTATCAAGATTCATACATTGGGCAGAAAACCTTTCATACAGTTCAATAATTCCAAGGAAATTCTCTGCCTCTTCTCTCGCATCTTTCCCAAAAAGTAGAGTATCATTGGCAAACAGCAAGTGAGAAATGCTAGGAGCTTGCTCTGCCACTGCAATACCTTTCAGCTTGCCACATCTAAATGAGTCCCGAGGAAGATAAGAAAAAGCCTCGCTGCAAATTAGAAATAAGTAGGGGACAAGGGATCGCCCTGTTTTAGACCCTTTTGAGGAGCAACGAAGCCAAGTTGAGAACCATTTAACATGAACGAAAAAGATACAGAGGAAATGCATTTATAAATTAGAGAAATAAAATTCTCATGGAATCCTAATTTTTTCACCACTTCAACCAGAAAGATCCATTCAATGTGGTCGAAGGCCTTGCCCATATCTAGCTTAAGAGACATAATAAGGCCTTATTCGCCCAAGTTTTAGTCCTAAGGTACTGATGAATCTCGTAGGAAACTAGAACACTGTCCTTGATAAGCCCACCGGGAAAAAAGTGAATTGAAAATCAGAGATATGTCAAGTTGAAGTGCCATAATTCTATTTGCAATGACTTTAGATGACAACTTAAAAATCACATTAAAAAGGCTAATAGGAAGAAATTGTGTAATTTGCTGAGGATTTTGGTATTTAGGGATGAAGATAATGTGAGTATAATTGTGATTGTTATTGAAATCTTGTTTATTCAAAGACAGCACATTACAAGTAATATCATAACCGATAATATGCCAATATTTTTGAAAAAAATGGGCTAAAACCATCAGGACTAGGAGATTTATACGGGAGCATTTGGGAAAAAGCCTCAGTTACCTCTGCAGAGTAGGTCTCTAGAAGCCGCTTGTTCATCTCAATGGAAACCTTGACTCGAGTTCTTTCTAACACAAGTTGAAGATCTCTTTCTGATGGATTTGAGTTGACAAATAATTCCCCGTAGGAACCACGAATAATATTCTCGAGACCCTACTTGTCAACACACCATTGGCCAACTAAATTCTGGAGACCTTTAATGATATAAATCTGTTTTCTCTTGCTTACATGTGCGTGAAAAAAAGAGGTATTCCTATCCCCCTCCTTGTACCAATGCAATTTTGATTGTTGCTTCCCCATCAAGCTCCCTGCTCCATGTGCTCTTCCAGTTGGATTCTGAGATTTGTAATTTGATCAGCTTTGGCAGAGTCAGTAATGATGCCAGACTATAGAGAATCAACCTTTTTGCGTATCTTGTCCATGTCCCTTTTTAGATTACCAAACCTAGACCTGCTCCTATTAAATAAACCCACTGATAGCCATCAAATTTAGTAAAGATGTCATTGTTACCCTTCCATCTAGATTTGATAACATTCTCACATTCGGCTGCACGTACCCATATATAGCTTCAAATTTGAAGTGGGGCCTATGGTGATTACTAAATAGATCACTATCTCTGCAATTAATGGAAACAAGAATAGGTTGATGGTCTGAGACATACCAAAACAAATGATGCATACAAGACGATGGGAATAGGGTATTCTAGGCTGGGGTTGCACAGGCTCTATCAAGTCGAGCTTTCATAGTATTTGAGAATTGGCGTTGTGAAACCAAGTGCATTGATTTCCTTTGAAGCCAAGGTCAGATAAGTTACAAAAATTCAGTGCTTCTCGGAAACAGTAGTCTATTTGCCATTGGGGTCGCTTGTGCTGACTGTAATATTCATCATGACTGAGATCATCATTAAAATTTCCTACACATAACCAAGGGAGATTAGAATGGGATGAAAGTGATTTGAAAAAATTCCCAAGCAGTCTTACGCTGTGAAGTTACTGGTTCACCATAAAAGCAGGTCACTCGCCAAGGTAAATCATCATTCTTGTTGGTTACTGTCGCATCAGTACAGCATTGGGAATATCCAAGGATAGAGACATTCAAACTTTTATCCATAAAAAACCTAAGCCTGCAGAGAGGCCACACGCATCAACAGGGAGACCAAAAAATTGAGATCATACTTGAGTTTATCAATAAGCTTACTGGAACATTTAGTTTCTGAAAGGAATAAAATTTTGGGAGCTTTTCTCCAGACTAACTCACAGACTTCGCAAACTGTCCGTAGGTTCCCAAGCCCATGGCAGTTCCAAGCTAAGATATTCATTGGTCTCGATGGGACTGATTTGGTTTAGTCTCCACCATTTGTTCCTGATTAGTTTCCAAATCCATATGCTCCCGGGTCAACCCTACACCACCATTGGAGGCGGCAACAATTGTGTCATCATCCTCAATAAGCTTGTGCCTCTTGGTGATAGTTAAAGTGGCGATGCCAGAGTTATCAAAGTTTGGGTTCTGCCTTTTTACGTTTGCCTTTGGGAAACTTTGATGAAGCAGCAGTCTTTTGGGATGCGGCCACTGGTTTTCATTTCCAAGTCCTGCGCTTAGCAATATCAACATCAAGGGGAACTAGAACAGGGAAGTTCGAGTCTATCCTGATGCAGAGCATGCGGTGAGTTTTCAGATTGGGATGCTGATTGAGTTTGAGTTTGGGTTGGTGATATGTTTTGTCCTTGAGTTTGAGGAAGGTTACTTGCACGGGATATTGATCGCGATTTTGATTCGGCTTGTGTGTGTGTTGATGTTTTAATTTTCACTGCAGTCTGAGACTCTGAGGCGGAGTTTTTGATTGGGTCAGTGGTTAGTCATGGGATTGGATGTGTGATTGTGGTCGGGTTTATGGTTGGGTTTTGTTATTGGGCTTGTAATTGCGTATATAATTGGGATTGGGTAGATAATGCATCACGTTTGGTGTCTAATGACATGGGTACATGTAGCACTGTGGGATAGGCTTTTAGAATTTTGAGACTGAGCAGATCATGATTTGGACCATTTGGTTGGATATGTAAAATATTCAGCTACGGATTTGTTGCCGAGTGAATGGTTATCTCCAAAAAATTATGAGCAAAGAATCATCTTCACGGGCTTTGAATTTTCTGTCCCTAAATTAGTTTCTATCCCCTCTGTCCCTTCTTTGTACAGCTGTCAAGCGATTCTAATTTTTTGATAACACAAACTCAACACAAACCGATAATAATCAGTTGACAAGTTCTCTAACTTTTTGATAACTCAAACTCAAACAAATCGATAATAATCAGTTGACAAGTTTACTCAAAATCAATTAAAACAGATAACTCAAACCTTTTTTTTTATTTTCTCTTTACATAAATTCCAATTTATGACAGGGTGGGAACTTGCTTTCAAGGGAATCATCACACTCCATGATCTACAATTTTAAAAAATTTTAGTAGTTAATTTTAAGATTTCGTATCAGTACTTGTTTTGTTGTTTACAAAATTAATTTTTAACTCATTACAAGAATTTTGCACAAAAAATAGTAAAAAGACAAAAGTAAACAATTGTTCAATATCTACGAAGTAATTAAATACAAATAAACCTGCTTAGATATCGAATGACATTAGTAAAAAATAAAAGCTTTTAAGTATAAAGTTTATCACTGAAAAAGTTTACTTCAATCACTCATTGACTACTAAAGGCTTGACGGTATTACTGGAACATTGACTACTAAAGGCACACTTTACGGTATTACTGGAACTTCATGCCTGAACAATTAGATACTAGTTTATTGTTGTGTTTGGATTGCATTTTCCGTGATTTTTCATGGAAAAAATACTGTAGCGATTTGATGTATGTGAGGGAAAAAGGTAATAGGGAAATATGATCACGGAAAACGACGTAATTTTTCGACTGAAACCGGCAATCCAAACAAGGCATTAAACTATATTAACTTCACAATATATATAGATACTTATATGAACAATGATGTCGATTGGGATTGTACAATATTTTTCCTATTGCATACAAGTTCCAATCAGTACAAGTAATTCCTGATATAACCAGACAGATCATGAATCAAATATATTGTAAAATTGGCATACATGATCTACTGATTTGCTTTACCTGGATAAAGATAAAATTGAATCTTGCTGCTTCATCCTTTGAGCTTTTTTGTTGCAAGATTAAAGATATAATGGGTGAATCAAAGTACTTGTTAGGGTTTAAGAAAAAGATGATTTGGGGTAAAAAATAAAGAAGCGTTTTAGTTGATTTCTACGTTTACGATCAACAAGACTCTTTTTTGTTAAAAAAGAAAAAAAAAAGTTTCAGGGGATTGATTAGCATTTGATGCGAGATTTTTGGAGTGAGGATCAGAGTAAATCCCATTCAAATTTTGAACATGACGAGGCTCCTTGTTCCTATTTTGAACTCTCTTCTCCCTAGGCGTGCTGAAGTAATTGGCACCAGTTGTTTTCATCCATGCTCTAAACTGCACGTCCATGTTTGATACGTCAGACCATATAAGATGGATTTCACAATCTTGTTCAACATGTCCAAAACTACTGTAGTAGTAGTAGAAATTAGGGAGTCTTTCATATTGAAAGTATATAGTAGCGTCAATGCCTTCATGACTAACAATTATGAGCTGCCACAGTGGCTGATGAATGTCCAGAGAAACACAAATTCTCATGAATTTTCCAAACAAATACAATCCTCATCTACCCCTACATCAAGAAAAGATCCCAAGCTATCTCCAATAACTTTGACTGTAGTAGAAGTCATTATCCCCAGGGGCACATTAAAAACTCCGCCCCAAAAATCATAGTAGTGAAATGGAACTTCTGTTGCGGGTACATTGCTTTTAAATTCTGATTGTTAGATTAATTACTTATTGAGGCCTACATGACCACATAAATGTATGAATAATAAAGTAATATTGTTCCACATACATGAAAGAACAAATCAAGAACTTGTATGGATCGAATTAAGATATCATGACCAAAGTCATGTACCTCATTAATAAGTCACAAGATTCAATGGCCAAAGTCATGAATTTAGGTACATGGATAATTTTGAGAATAATATTATGGTTCAAGTCATCAAAGAAATGCATGACATAATTGTCGCGCCCCATTTTTCGCGATGGAAAAATAAAAATAAAAAGGTATTTATAAAAGATATGATTTCCATTTAAAAATAAGTGAAAAGGACCTAAAATGGGACTTTAAAAAATGCGACAATTTGGGTCCAAAATTCAGTCTAAAAGGGTTTTGAAGAAAAATTAGGAGTCGCCACTTGGTATCGAGTTTAGGTGTACCAAGTCACCCAAAAAGTGTATTTAAATAAAATAAAATAAAACCCTTTTCGACAACTCCAGGTCTTTGAAAAATAAGAGAAAATGGATTCAGGAGTCACGGTTGAAGAAAGGGAAGGCAAAGGTTCGATTAACTCAAAACTAAGGCACCCTTTCAACCTAGCCTAAGCTAGTTGCGAGGTTTAGTCAAAATTTTCATAATCTAACCCTTAATTTATCAT